ACTTATTTAGCATACCAAGAATAGTGCTCTTAATTTTATCGTAAAGCCCTATCGTTGCTATTGCGAGTTGAACGTGTGTTATCAGTTCCAGGTTCTCATTTCTCAAAATTTTGGATTTAAAACGATTCTTCATCTGGTTCATAAGTGTCATAAATTTGGGCATATGAGGATTTGATTCCGTTATTTAGGTTTTCGATGGTGTTGGATTTGAATAAAGTTCAGAAAAAAAAAAACAAAAATTCATAAAAATCGACTGGCTATGGTGGCTTGTGTAACAATGCGTAACTTGAAGATGGGGTTTGAAGATTAAAAGCCCTAATCTTCACATCGACTGTGAATTTCAAATTATTTAAAAAGATCCATAGATTTTATTCATAAAACCGAGTTACAACTTACAAGAAAGCATGATCACTCAACAGATCTCAACAATTCCGAAGAAAAAAAGCTCAAGTTTACTTGTTCGCCGGAGACGGTTTGAAATTGAGCAACTCCTTCGAATGCATCCACGCTTTAACCACCACCTCCGCATCGAACACCTTCGAAACACCAGACTTGGAGAAGGCTACGATTTTCAAGTAGTACTTGATCCCTGAAACTACCTGCGTCTCCGCCTCCACCACCTGTGAAAACTTCAGAGATCCGACGCCACCTTTCCGGCTTCCTTCCGACCGATTGTACTCCTCCACTGAATACCTCCCGAGTTCCTGAACCTCTTTGTTCGTCTTCACGTTTTCTACCTTCTTCCTCCCTCCTGGAATTCCGTTGGCCACGAAATTTGAGATGAACAACACAAAAAACACGATGGATAATGTTAAGATGGTGCTTCTAGACATGGTGAGATTGCTATGAATAGATGAAATGTTTCAGATTTGAGTCTTTGTTTGTAGAAAGAGTTGATGGATGAATGGATTTATAGCGTGTTGCGTGTGGAAAACAACAGGCATGGAATTTGTTCTGTTGATTGATTTTGGATAAAGAGGAGAGAACACGGGTTTTTGCGGGCCTGTTTCACATTCAAATCCGATAGCGATGTCGATTTTTGTTGGTTTCTGTTGGCGGGTCGAAACCGACCCAAATAATATCCGATTAATCTTATGTTTACAATTTACATTTTACATATTTTTAATTTATTTAGAGTTATATCCAAAAGGAATATACGACTTATTAAGGCCATTACTTTTTTGGTTTGTTTATGTTTGGATAACTATTTTTTTTTAAGCATCTAGATAATTAACTTTTTTATGATCTACTGTAGCAGGTTACATCCGGTTATAATGATCATACGTGAACATTTTCAACAAGGTCGTTACTTAGAAGTGTACAAAAAAAATAGTTACCTAAATATGAACAAAACGAAAAATAAGAGTAATTACACGAATGGTCCCTAACTTATTTTTTTTTAACTCGGATGGTTCCTACTGTTTATTTTTGTTGCGCGTTTGGTCCATGACTTACTTAAAAAGACTATTGTGCCCTTATTAATTAATTTTTTCATTAATTTTCTTATTTATGTATTTATTTTTTATATATTTAAAAAAATTAATAGACCACACATATCTGTATCTCCTCACCCTAAACCTGAAACCACATTTGAGAAATTTAATCTGGGTCCCACCGGTCACCATCTCATCTCTCATCCTCCCCAACTTCTATTTCTTTTCCATCTTTAGTAAATCAACGTCTTCACCATCCCCTTTTTTTGGTCCTTCAACTCCGACGAACCAACACCACAACCCACAACCCACTGTCTCTTCATCGAATTTTCCACCGCCACAACCCAATACATCACAACTTTTATTTTCTTTCCATCTTTTGTGGTGTTTGTTCGCCGGAGTTGAAGGATCAAAAAAAGAAGGGATGGTGAAGACGTCGATGTCACTAAATATGAAAAGGAAATAGAAGTCGGAGAGGATGAGAGATGAGATTGTGGCCGGTGGGACCCATAATAAATTTCTCAAATGTGGTTTTAGGTTTTGGGTGAGGATATATATAGATATGTGGGGTCTATTAATTTTTTTAAATATATAAAAATTAAATACATAAATAAGAAATTTAATTAAAAAAATTAATATGGGCACTATAGTCTTTTTAGGTATGACAGGGACCAAGTGCACAACAAAAATAAACAGTAGGGACTATCCGAGTTAAAAAAAATTAGGAACCAAACGCACAAATTTCCCCAAACCACAGGGACCATTCGTGTAATTTACTCTTACTTTTCGTTTTGTTCATATTTGGGTAACTATTATTTTTACATATCTAGGTAATGAACTTGTTGAAAGTATTCACATATGACCATTATGACCGGATGTAACATGCTACAACATGTCATAATGGTCATATGTGAACACTTCCAAAAAGTTCGTTACCTAGATATGTACAAAAACAAATATAGTTACCCAGATGTAAACAAACCGAAAAGTTGATTACCTTAGTAAGTCATATTCTCTTTCCAAAAATAAGGTGCGGGAGATGTTATACTACTAGACAGTATTTTTAAAATTAGCCACCATCTTCGCAGACATCTCAAAGCCGACTCATATGAATGTTGAGTCGAAAAGAATCAACTCGGCGCGAAACCAGTGACGTCCAACTAAAGCTAAAGTTTCATTAAAAAGCGTTTCCACGGGGCAGAACCTGCTCAGGGAATCACAATCTCATACTTATCATAAAACGGATAAATTATACAACAATTATTAACCACACTTGAAAACTGTGGCCACATGTCACTATCAGCTACGTTTATAGATTAACATTATAATGCCTTTTTTATAAGAGATAATAGATAACTATATGGTCACATAAGACAATTGTGTATGTTTCTGTATCATGGTGCCTATTTAGACACATGAAATCCAATGTAGCTAACAGGTGATACATATGGCCACATTAAATATTTGTGTGCCTATAAGGTGGTGTTTACTAGTGACCTACTAAAAGAAAGAAAACAAGTTACTTTTAGTGGTTTATGGTCATGTGCGTTTTAATACGTGCATCAAAATATGATGAATTGGCTTTGAAAAAAATATATTATGAGTGTAAGTGGCATTTGGTTGTGGTTACAATTATTATGTGTGTCTATAGGAAAATCTAAGTATAGAAGAAATATAATGTCTGATGAGTATAATTGTTGTATGGTCATTGAATGTGTGACTATAGGTATGTAATGGTCATTTTTTTTGTATTAGTGTATGTCTAAAGTTAAAGAATAGTCTTCATAAAACGAAAATATGTTGCTGCAAGTATTTACCGGTGACGTATTAATATATTTTATGCTTCGTTTTTTTAGGAGATGGAGACCCTCTGACAATGTTTATAAAACAAAAAGAAAGGATACAAAATAATTGGGAGACCCTCATGAACACTTCTACCATCGCCACCTAAATCCTCAACCATAATCATATCTTCAGAATATTGATTTAACAAGTTACTTTTAGTGGTTTATGGTCATGTGCCTTTTATTATGTGTGTCAAAATATGATAATTTGGCTTTGAAAAAAAATATGGTGAGTGTAAGTAGCATTTGGTTATGGTTACAATTATTATGTGTGTCTATAGGTAAATCTAGTTATAGAAGAAATATAATGTCTGATCAGAATAATTATAATTGATGGGTTTTGAGCATATCTACATTCCTATGTGATCATGCAACCCTAATTGCTTTGGATCTAAGTTTTTCAATAATTGAACATGCGTATTGAATACCAAAGCAATAACCCTAGAAACTAGCATACAAATTCGAAAATCATGTACAAATTAGGGCTAGAACATTACCTTACTTGTTATGTAGTAATAACAAGAACAACCTTGAAGATCCTTGACTCTTGAAATCTTAGTGACCAAAATGTCGCACCTCTAATGGTTCACAAACACCCAATGCAACAAGATGAGTGGACAGAGGAGGAGGCACTCTATGATTTTCGGCTATGCTAGGATTAGCTTCCAGTGGCCAAAAATTCAATGAGTAACCCTCCTTAAATACATGTGGTTGCTAGGGTTTTCAGTTGGAAACCCTAATTTCCTGCTTAGGGACTAAGCAACCCACAGACCCTTCCTTTAGAAGCCCTTGGACGAAAATCTATAGGGCCTCCCTATAGTTTTCGTCCACTCCTATCCAAGGGGTCCAAGAGTCCAGTTTCACAACTATCAATGATTTGCAAAACAACCCTTGCATTATTAATTAGTTCATTTAACCACAAAATTAATTTCTGATCAAATACTAATCAATAATATGATTTCTAATTAATATATTATTTTCATAATACATCAATAAATCAATTATTCCAATTTATTATTCCAAATAATAAATTCAACCTCTCTCTCCAAAAGTCATCTTGTCAAGTTGCATGAGTGAAGGCAACCCAAAAGGACCATGCTACCATCAAATCAAGTACATACCAATTATAGTGTTGAGAGAAAAACTTGAGACACACTTGAACAAACGTTAGAACAAGTATAGTTGCGGAATAGTTTATCTCAAAGGATCTAAAAGCTCAACAATAATAAGTTAACGAGTTAGATAATTAGAGAGTTAGTTGCGGAAACGTAAGGAAATATAAATGACAGCAGGTGATATATCAAGTATACACATAAGTTGATTCATAACATGGAATGCATTCAGACCAAGTTAGTAAGTGAGATCAAACTTAGTGATTAAGTCACGAATGACTTGCTCCAAAGAGAAATACTATTAAGTTATGTTCTAGTGAACTTTGAGAGTAAGGAGAGATTTAAGATGCCTAATTAGATAGAAGTGAGAGATGTAATTGATAGTCTCGAAGTTGTATTGAATGAGAAAGATTGAGCTCTATATATAGAGACTCAAGAATTACATTGGATCAATTCTCTAAGAGTAGCCATGCAAGGCATACTGGACAATAGAGAGTACTACAATATAAGTAGATAAAGTTAAACTAAGTAAAGTAGTAATTAAAGTTGCGGTTGTTGATGACTTTGGATGAGGTTGCTAATGAAGCTTTGACTGCGGATCCTTGTGTGCTGCGGTAGCTCAAGTTCAAGAGGGTCACTTTATGATTCAACAATTTCCCCCAAAGTGACCTCTTTAACTTTTCTTCAATTATCAAGTTTTAGGAACTTGATTAGAATCCACCAAAACTTTCTGATATTTTCCAACTAGGTGATCCTTCTTAAAATCTCGAACTTGACTTTGGCAGTCGTGTGTTTTGATCTTTCAACTGCGGTTCGACAGATTTTAAGTTGCTTCCTTGTGAGACGATTCATGGCAGTCATGGGAATGAAGTATTTGATTTTATCGACCTTTCTTTTGAAAATGACTCCAAGTTCTGGGAAGTTTGTTGCACCTAGGGATCTCTCTTGATAACCTTCGGTAGGCATTGGTGCAGGATCAAGTGGTGGTAGATCGAACTTTTTGGCAAATGTAGGGTAGATGTCTGCATCAATCTTTGCAAAGTCACAGACGGTTTCCCTCAGAAATGTGCTTGCCCTTTCAAGTGATATCTTCATATTTGGATACTTTTCGCTTTTGTTTTGGAACACCTTTGCTATCAGGAAGACTTCTTCTGGATTCATACATGGGAAGTCAGCTTGGGTGCGAACGTAGTCTTGATTCCTTCTTGTAAGAGTATACTGAATGAAGTCAGCTTTCATGAATTTCCGGGGCTTAAAGTTCTTGACT